GCAACATAATTAAATTCTGCAAGCATGGTCATAAATATTTGTATTCACCTGAAAGTAACTCAGATTCATGTTCTTTCATCTATATGGTTTTTTGGATGAATGTTATAATATGTAATATTCCTTTGTTGCAGGTTGTAATTCGTGACGCAATATATTATGGTGTGTCTGACCCTAGCTTTGTTGCTTCACTGGTCAACTGGGCTCTTCCATATGCTCAGCGCTATATATACACCAATCATCCCAAAAGATTTTCTCAGCTCAAGCAATCTGGATTTGAAAACCTGAGATGTCTAAAGATTGTTGTTGTAGAAAAGTTGTTCTACAGAAATGTGATTAAAGGATATGAAATGCGATCCAAGAAAAGGTTCGAGTGCAACTCTCTTCTAAAGGTATCAAAACTTGGCAGTACATTCAGTATTGCGTTTGTTTGCTGTTCAGTACATTTAGTTTTTAATGCTGTTCATTTACTAAATAACCAGAAAATGACAGTTGCTAGGAGGAGGGAAGAAGTTCCTTTCTGGGTTGTTTGCTAATTATAATAATCCTCATAAAAACTAAATTATGTCTATCTATAGATGCAATTTAAAAGGCTAAATAATTTTGTAACTTGCTGCTGCAATGTTGTTACTTTGTTTAGTAGGAGTTTCTTTTCTGTTATTTCTCTGAACTTCAGTTAACTTGCTGCCCTAAAATGTTTTCCTCTTTCCTTTGCCTGAGATTCTGTGTTTAGAGTGAATTTTATTGAAGGTGCCTTGTTTAAAAAAATGTATATATTTGATCTAAATTCCTAATGTTTTCTGTGGTGACTTACAGGACACTGTATTGTATGTTTCTCGAGAATTAGATTCACACTCTGTATTTATGGAACTTTCTCGCTTCATTGGTGGTGGAACCCCTGATCTCAACTTGGCCAATTTTCTTCACATGATCACAACCATGGCAGAATCAGGTTCAACTGAGGAGCAGACTGAATTCTTCATTATAAATAGCCAGAAAATGCCGAAACTCCCTGAAGGAGAACCTGTTTGGTCCCTTTCAGATAGCGCGTTTTCAATGGAAAATGAGGAGGCACTGATGACTAGCTTTGAATCCGGAGCAACTAATGAACCAAATCCAGTCAAGTTCAAGAAGAAACCCGGGATAAATTCTAATTGGCCACCTGCAGACTGGAAAACTGCACCTGGTTTTCATTCTTCCCGTGCATTTAAATTAAAAACACAAGCAGGCAATGGTGACCAAGTTTTAAGGGAGGATGAGATGGCAGAAATTATGAGGCATCCAGAAAAACACCCTCTTGCCCCAACTGAGATCAATTATAGAGGAATCATTGAAGAAAATTCAACATCAAGTTTACCTCGGGCAGGTGCACAAGATGCTGGAATTTCAGAAGATAGATCGTCATATATTCCCATTGCTAATATTACACCTGGTATGAATATGGGTTTTGATTCTTTTCCTGTTGTGACTACATCAGAAGATACAGTTTCAGCTTCAAAGTTGTCTAATTTGAGAGATGGAGGTCATCTTTCTCTCAGCCCAGCCGATGCTCAACAGGCACTTTTAACGGGTAGACTAGGAGAATTTGTTGCTTTCAATTACTTCAGCGGAAAAGTTGGTAAAGCATTTGTGAAGTGGGTGAACGAAACTATTGAGACTGGGCTGCCTTATGACCTCGTAGTGGGAGATGAGGAATACATAGAAGTGAAGGCAACCAAATACGTCAGAAAGGATTGGTTCACAATAAGTGCAAGGGAGTGGCAATTTGCAGTTGAAAAGGGTGAACTTTACAGCATTGCACATGTCATATTATCAGCTACCAATACAGCTACAGTCACAGTATACAAAAATCCTGCCAAACTTGTCCAGCTTGGTAAGCTGCAGTTAGCCATTACAATCAATTGACTTCTATTCTCGGATATTGCCCAGAATGCTGGAATTCTGACGATCCTTCACTAAACGAGTGAGATCCGAAGAAAACAAACTCTATTTACTAGACATATGATGGGGATGGGATATGAGCAGTGTTAGATTTTTTTATATAGGATGCTGAGCTTGATTCATTGCGGCCAAATTTCATTTGGAGATGTATCATTGTATCAAATATAGGAGCAGGGAGGAAGTAGGTACATAATGTAGTTTATAGTGATACTGGGCTAGTGGGATAGGTAGTTTTTTTGCTTTTTTTTTTTTTTTTTTTTTTTTGAAGCAAAATATACATGTTTTGCTTTAGCTTGTAGTGTTGTAGACAGAATTCATTAGAGATATCTAAAGCAGAACACTGAATTACAGTATTAATCTTTATTTATTTGAAGATGAATTACATTTGTCGTTAATGTCTATTTCCCTCATGTTCGACAGTTTTTGATAAATTTTGGTTAATATCTGTCTTCCATATCATATATAATCAATATTTAGTGGAAGTCTGGAGCAATAGCTTGAGCTTGACAATATGATTATTACAACATTATAATTTACGTTTATTGCATACTTTCTTTACAGGCAAAAAAATGTGTGAGATATCTCGCGGATTTTTGTCGTCCGTGAGATGGGTCGGATTAATATAAAAATGTAATACTAATTAGGAATAAAGTGTTTATTACTTAAAATTGTAATACTCTTGAAGAAAAATATAATACTTTTACATTTTGATTTAAAAGTATTACATTTATAAGTAACAAACACTTTATTCCTAATTGGTATTACATTTTTCAGTATAAGTATTACATTTCCATATTGACTCATAGAATTCTAGATAGATTTAACGAATCATAAACACTTTAAAAAAGATGCAATGATATTTTTGTAAATAATTCGAACTTTGAAATGCAAGTAAATTGTATTAAAAGTACCGTAACAATTTCATAGAATGCACCCAAGTGCAAGTAAAATGTATTAAAACTATTTAAAAGTGCAAGTAAAATGTATCAAAAGTGCAACAATATAATGTACACCGAGCAACAATATTAAGTGCACCTAGTGTTATCATTAAGTGCATCAATGTGAAAAGATAAATTATTTCCACTATTAAGTGTAAGCACACTTGCATATGTTACTTGTACTTTTAACACATTTTATTTACACTCAAAGTTCGAGTTATTTATAAAAATGTCACCACACTTAAAAAAAAATACATTTGATTATTGATCTTTTCAAATGGACAGCTCAGATTAATCATTATTTCTCTCCTGGGCGCCGGTTTTCCCTGGAGTGCTTCCCTATAAGGCTATAATAATCTTCCATGTAAAAACTATGGACAAATTTGGGTCTTCCATCTTGAGTCTTTTTGTGGCTAGAATTTTTTTCTTATTTTTTATAGTTATTTACTCTTTTAAAAAATAGAAATGAGTGCTTTGGTAATTTGGAGCGTGTTTTGAATGTTGAATGTGATTTTAGGAGTTCAATTTATGGTAAATTCGGATTCTCTTGACGCTATATTGTTTAAGTATAATATTGTTTATTTTTATGATTGATATATATGTATTTTTTTGCGGACAATGTATTGATGTGCACTATGGACTCAATAGATGTGCATTTATACTGTTAGTTTTGTGCATTTTAGATGAGGAACATTGAGGACGAATCATATCCACTTATCAGGATTCATCAATGATTAATGTTTTTAGTAAAAAAAAATATATAAGGTCACTTTTATAATTTAAGTTTACAATATTTATAAAACATGCATTTGCATGGTGTGCATTTTGATTTTCTAGTGTGAATTAGAATGGATAAACATAGAATGGGAGAAAAATTCAGACTATCCCCAATTCCCCATTTAGACGGTAGAGTTGATTTTTGGTCAAACAGATTTGTCATTTAGGATTGGAATAAGGTTCAAATTGGCCACTGAACATAACCTGAAAGTGCAATTAGACCATTGAACGAAAAAAAAATGCAATTAAGCCACTGAACACTCAAAAAATGTGCAATTTCACCTGATAGCAGGTTACCATCAATTTTAGCAGGTTATCTGCTTACGTGGCAGCTGAGTTGACATTTTTAATAAGTTTTAATTAATTTTTAATAAATTTTAATAATAAATTTTTATTAATTTTTTTTTTAAAAAAATAAAAACGACTTTATTTTATTTTTTATTTATTTTTTTCTAATTTTTTAATAAAATTTATTATTAAAATTAATTATTAAAAATGCCAACTAAGCTGCCACGTAAGCAGGTAACCTGCTAAAATTGATGGTAACCTGCTATCCGGTAAAATTGCATACGTTTGGAGAGTTCAGTGGCCTAATTGAACATTTTTTGAGAGTTCAATGGCCTAATTGTACTTTTTTTTTTCGTTCAATGGCCTAATTGCATTTTCAAGTTACGTTCAGTGGCCAATTTGAACCTTAAAGGAATTGACATGCTAATTCGGCGGATATCTTTGAGGCCTTTAAGTTTATCGTAGCCATTGATTTATTAATTTAAATGGCTATGATTTGCCCACAGTTTTTACGTGGGAGGTGGTTTCATATGAGCATGACTCTCAAGTAAAATGTGATTATTGATCTCATGCAGATGGTAATTTTGTCTTTTTAATGCTTGCTTAATCCAACCAACACTAATACAAATCCTGAAGTCTATTTTTTCGACGACAAGTCAAACAATGAAATGAAATTCCTATGTTATTTCTTACCTGTCAATGACTTTGTGGTCTAGTGGCACCAAGTTGCTCTCCCATATGAGAGGTTGTGAGTTCAAGCCTTAGTGGATACAGTATTAACTCTGTGGATAAAAATGTTATTTCTTATCTATTTCCATTTCTTATGCAATAAGATTTCTAATCCCTCAAAATTCATTCCGTGAACTAGTGTGATAGTTATAATGTTATATGCTAATAAAGTCTCACATAACTATGTAAATATAGCAATATAGCATCTCAATAACTCAATTGAAGGCTGAACCGCATTATCATTTTGATATTAGAAACTACAATCAGTACAAATAACTGAATAAGAAACTCATTGGATAAGACTGGAAACATAAAGAGATCCTGTAGAAGTGAGAAGACAAATAAGATAATTTTCACATAAAAACAGGTATGTGGTGACATTATTATTGATAACATGATTTCAAGACTAGTAACATAGTCAATATTATCTTCCCTTTTCTCTTGTTGGGAGGGGAGAACAGTGAAATTAAGGAATACAAAATCAAGCAGATGATCATGAAAACTCACCGGTCAAAGATTAAATTGAGCCCCAGCCTCCACCCCCAGGGGTTAAAATCTGAAGGACCTCCCCAGCCTGAGCCTGAACAGTGTTTTTTCCACCAAGATACACAGAACGGTTATCTTTTGTAATGAGGTAATTGAAGCCACGAGCACCGTCTTTGCCCCCCTTTAATCCCCTTGGGGTATGCACGCGCCTTTCTGAAAGGATACTCACGACAACTGGCCGTCTGAATTCTATCTCCCTGAGAAGGCCATCCCCTCCCCTGTGTAGTCCAGTTCCTCCACTGTTCTCTCTTATCGCAAACCTGTGCAATATAACTGGGTACCGCTGTTCAAAAATTTCTGGATCAGTCATACGGGTGTTTGTCATATGACACTGGACCCCACTGGTGCCGTTCCAAGTTGGGCCAGCACCGCTTCCACCACCAATTGTTTCATAATATCCAAAAGTGTCATCCCCAAAGGTTAAATTGTTCATGCAGCCCTGTGAACAAGCACAAGCCTGGAATGCAGTAAGAATGACATCGGTTATTCTCTGAGATGTAAGAACATTACCACCCACAACAGCAGCCTTATCACTTGGGGAGAGAAATGAGCCTGGAGGTATATATATCTTCACAGGAGCTAAGCAACCTTGATTAAGAGGGATGTCAACATTTACCAAACAGCGTAGGCAATAAATGACTGCAGCAGCTGTCACTGCTTCCGGAGCATTCCAGTTACCATAAACTTCAGGACTGGTACCCGAGAAATCAAAGAGTGCTTCTCCCTTTTCAGGGTCAATAGTAAGTTTTAAGTGTATAGTAGACCCATCATCCATGTAATCTTCTTCTTCAATGGTCACCAAAGCACCACTTTCCCTGAACTCAGATGATTCAGAAGAGACTTTAGCAGCAACAGATTTGAGCATTTCTCGCACTGCTCCTTCGGCGTTTGCCTGCACATAATTCATGTATGCCTGGACAGTCTCCAGGCCATATTGATCGATAAGCTCCTTTATAAGGGTAATTCCTCTCTGATTTGCTGCCACTTGTGCATGAAGATCCGATAAATTATCTTGAAGCCTGCGTGTTCCTGGAATTTTATGAACTGGCTCATCAGAACTTGGGAACTGAAGTAGGTTAGTGATTCCTTCTTCCTGAAAAATACCCTTCTCTACAAGCTTGAAGGCTTTTATAGCAGCTCCTTCCTCCCATATGAACTTTGAGAAGGGTGGCATACTTCCAGGAGTAATACCTCCAATCTCTGCATGATGCCCTCTACTTGCAACGAAGAATATCAATTCACCTTGATTAAAAACAGGTGTGATGACAGTAATATCCGGCAGATGGCTACCTCCAGCAGAAGGATGATTGGTAACCAAAACATCCCCTTCATGCAGATTATCACCCCAGTACTGCAACTGCCACCGGATTGTACTAGACATGGCCCCCAAGTGAACAGGAACATGGGGAGCATTTGCCACCAGGCCCCCATCAGGACCAAAGAGTGCACACGAGAAATCTAGCCTTTCCTTGATATTTGTGGATATGGAAGTTCTCTGCAGGGTGCGGCCCATCTGTTCAGCAATTCCCATAAACCTGTTGTTGAAGATTGAGAGTTGGACAACATCTGCAACTTTTCCCTCTACTTTCAATGTACTTGAAGTTGTCTCAATTTCTATTTTGATGTTGCCATATTTGGTAATAGTTGATTTACAGTTGGGTTCTACTATCACTGTGCTGTTACCATTCATAATAATTGCGGGTCCTGAAATAATATGGCCATATGCCAGATCCTCAAGCTTGAACAAAGGAGTATCAAACCATGCATTCCCAAAATAGACCTTGTAATGAGTTTCAACTTTAGGGGTGCATGAGGCAGGTTCTAATGCACGTGGCTTCAATATATTAGTGACTCCAATACCACGAACTCTTACATCACATATAAGTATATGCCTGTTTTGGAGTTTAAATCCATATTCCCGTTGGAATAATTTGACAAACTCACAGGCATAATCACCCTCAGACCCATCATCAACAGGTCTTTTTACCATGATTGCTGTATCTGTTCCCTCATACCTTAGATTTAAGTATGTTTCAGTGATGATATTTTCCTCTCTGAACCCTTGTTGTTGCAGACTCTCCTTCACTTGCTTCAGCAAAACACATTCTCTGTGAGAAGCCTCAACAACAGATTCAGGGCCATAAACAGCAGAATATGGTTCCTGTGCCTCTTCAATCACATCTGCCATTCCCATCCCATAAGCACTCAAGATCCCACAGAACCTGTGAATTAGAACTTCTTTCATACCCAATGATCTAGCAATGGCACAGGCATGTTGAGGTCCTGCACCTCCAAAGCAAGCAAGAGCATGGTTGCTTGTCTCATGGCCCTTCATCTCAGTCAATTGCCTTATTGGACGGCACATGGTTTCATTGGCCACATTCACAAATCCCTGTGCAATCTCCTCCACAGTCATATCCTTTGCTAAAGGATCCTGAGTCTTTCTATAGGAGTTGATATCCTTTGCAAGTTTCTCAAACTCTTGTCTAGTAGCATCAACATCAAGTGGCTGGTCTTCATTGGGACCAAAGATAGATGGGAAATATTCAGGAATTACATATCCCAAAATAAGATTTGCATCTGTTACAGCAAGCTGCCCTCCTTTCCGATAGCATACCGGTCCAGGGTGAGCACCTACAGATTCTGGTCCCACTCGAAAAGATCCAAACTGAAACTTTAACTTTGAGCCACCTCCAGCAGCTACAGTGTTTATGTCAAGCTGAGGTGCCTGAATAATAGTGCCAGCAACCTGTGTTTCAATAACTTGTTCGTAGCTACCAGCATACCGACTAACATCAGTAGATGTACCACCCATGTCAAAACCTATGAGGGCCTTGTTTGTCTCAATTCCAAAAAGTGTCTGTGAGTAACCAACTACACCACCTGCAGGACCAGACAGAATTGCTTTGTGGCCAGAAAATCTACTTTCTGGTGCAAGCCCTCCATCTGATTGCATAAATAAGACGTTCAACTTCCCTAGTCCTTCATCAAATTTTGACATGAACCCAGATAAATATTCTTTAATAACTGGAGTCAAGTATGCATCCACACTTGCTGTGAAACCTCGAGGCACAGCTCGAACCATAGGAGTCAGAGCTGATGATAATGATACATGCCTAAAGCCCAAACTCAAAGCTAGCTTTTCCACAAGTATTTCATGGTGTGGGTAAGTATAGGAATGCATCAGAACCACAGCTAAGCAACTGATTCCTTTTTCCAGCAGAGATTTGAGCAAAGGCTTTAGAGCTTCTTCATTGAGAGGCTTCACAACTCTTACATGTTCACCTGAAACACCCTGAAATATTGAGTCACAAGAGTCTGAATTTAATTCCTCCTTATCAAGGACGAGCTCAACTCTCTCGTCGACCTCTACAACCTCCTCATAAAGATTAGAGGGTTTGGATACAGTGAGGTCAAAAATATTTGGACGAGCCTGGTTACCAATTTGCAGCAAATCTCGGAAGCCTCTAGTCACACACAATGCAATCCTCTCGCCTTGTCTCTCTAGCAATGCATTTGTTGCCACAGTTGTACCCATTCTTATCCATTCTATCTTGTCTGTAGGTATTTTGGTATTACGGGGAATCTTCTGTCCAGTAAATTCCTCCAAAACCCTCCTAATTCCTTCTACAGGAGCATCATCATAATTAGATGGATCAACAGACAGTAGTTTCATAACACGACCTTCGGACTGTCCTGGAATCTCAGCATACACATCAGTAAATGTGCCCCCTCTGTCAATGCAAAATTTGAGTTTCTCTTCATTTAGGCTCCCCATTGCCACAATCCTGAAAATTATCTGAGATTAGAGATGGCGATCACTTTTTGTAAGTAGTAAATAAATGTATCTGTATAGGAATACAACAAAATGGAATCCATCACAATGATAGAAATGCATGGGAAGGATCTCGAAATAAGTTTATTTTATTCAAAATACTAAAACCTACCAAATTAACAATCCAAAGGTTCTGAACCAAACATAAAAGGGTGATGTAAAGTACCTCAAACCAGACGTTAGAATGAAACGGAGAAGCAAAGGAAGCATAAAAATCACTCTAACTGATTCAAAAACAAAAGTCGATAAAAGAACTAAACTAGTCCGTCTTCTCATTTAAAACTCATTAGAAACCTTTTCTTCTCCAATTTCACCTGGTGTGAGGAGCAGAAAAATACTAAAAACAGATAAATTGCTAATACATACACACATACAAACTGTTTCAGCTTAATCAACAACAAGCAGAGTAAAATCATCAATCCTTTAAAAAAAGCACAAAAAGATGCAATACTCCATCGTCGTTCATTCAAGTCCATAAGCTCAAGATCAATACCAAACAGGGTCGAAGATGCTTGAAATTTTTCGTTTTCAGTTTGTTTTTGCACCTCTGTCATCGAATCATCGAGTAACAATTCTTACTAAGCAATGAGTAGGACTAATTCGATTCACATACACTTACTACATCAACTAATAAAAAAAAAAAAAAAAAAAAACAAGAATTTAGACAATCATATAAATCAGTTCACGATAAACATAGCTTTGACTAGACATTAGCAACAAGAATAAATCAGATAGGTTACGATGACTAACTGATTGCACTGCGAAACGGAAACTGCGGCGGAGGTTTTGGTTGCGTAATCTTACGGTGGTGCAGAGGCGAGCGGGAAGAAGAAGACGATAACAGCGTCCTCTCCAGTCAGACCAGCCTCATATAATTATTTTTCCACTAATTTGGGTATTTCTATTTGTAGGATTTTGTTTTATTTAGACAGTATTCACAGTAGTGTAATTAACGGCGGCGCTTTTGCGACAGTGAGCTTTAGAAAGAGAAAATGATGTGTACTCTCCCACTTAAGTGAAAAATTACTTTCTCGTTTTTTTAAATCAAAATGTTTTTATTCCATTAATGGTTAAGAATTTCAATTAATGGTTTATTCCGTTTGAAAGTATTAGTGAACGGTTTCGATTTTTTTTTTTTCTTCTTTTTGAAAACCAAGCAACTTCAATCATTATAACAAACCCGAAATACAATCAGGTGGGATAATGTCCCACACACCAAGGACAGATGATGAAACAGTTGCCCTCATCAGTGCGTGAACCATATGGTTTGCTGATCTTTGGACATGGCAGACAACAACGTCGACAATATCCCTAGCAAGAACCTTACCATGCTTTAATAATAATCCAACATATGATAAATCTACAGACTCAGAATTATAGTTGGTGCAGAAGTTTAAACAATCCGTCTCAAGAATTATATGTGACATATGGCGCTGTTTAAGGCAAGTCAGGGCTTCCTTGATAGCCAATGTCTCTGCCATATAAGGATCAAGTTTGCTACGTAAGAGACCATCATATGCTGCTACAAAGCTACCTGAATGATCCCGGATCACAGCACCAAACCCCATACCATTCGCCATAATAGTAGCATCCACATTACACTTCAGTCGCCCTACCGGAGGTAGAGACCAGGAACTAGACGAAGAAGGCAAGTTGTGGCTAGCAACTGGAGAAACGACATAAGTCCTGTGTCATATTAATAGTCCATTCCTTAGAATGCCAAAGCATATCATTGCGCACCTTTCATAGACTCCACAACCTTGCCGCCATACGCAAATCTTGTTCCAAGTCATGTATATCGAGAATCTCTTCCACAATTGACCTTAAGGAACGACCATTCGAAATGGTGTTACAGCCCCAAACCTGAGTAGCAATTGGGCAGTTGAAGAATAGGTGAACGGTAGTTTCTGAACTGGAGGTGCACAACAGACAACCACCACCAACAAACACATGTTTAAGTTGTAGATTTTCTCTTAAAGGGAGGACATTACGCATACAACGCCATAGAAAGTTCTTTATGTTAGGTGGTATTCTTAATCTCCAAAGCCTTTGCCATTGCGTGAATTCTGTAGCACTCTGGGAGTTCATATCGGTGGAGACATGATTCTGGTATCCAGCACGGACAGAGTATAAACCTTTTATGTCTCCTTTCCAACTCCACAAATCAGCATATTCCAGTGAAATAGGGGTGTGCATAGTACGAACCACATCAGACTCCATAAATAAATCTCGTAGCAGTTCTTCATCCCATTGTCCATTGTTCGTTAATAAGTTGCACACTCTGGCTTCCTTTAGTTCATCGATACAAACAGTGTCCAGTCGGGGATTATCAACCTTTGCAAACCATGGCCAGCCCCAGACAAGAGTATCAAGGCTGTTACCCACTCTGCGTATCACACCAGATTTGAGTAAGTATTGACCAGCTAAAATACTACGTCATAAAAAGCTTGGGATGTGACTTAATGAGGCATACAAATATGTTTTAATTCTTTATAATAATTCATAAATTATATTATTAAATTAGTTTTTCAAATTGTATCATTTATGTATTGATGTAATGACTATTTTGTGATTTGAAACTATGAATTTACAAATTTTAAGATTTTAAAAAAAAAAATTGAATTAAAATATTTTAATTAATCCGTTAAAAAAATTGATTCAATTAATTCAAAAATATGAATTTTGATTTGGTTAATGGATAAATTATTTTGCAAATTTGGTTAATTCGGGTTGAATATTAAACGAATGAATAACCCTACTCTAAGGAGTTCTTTCTCAAATAATGATAGGTGTATTTTTTTTTTTTTTTTTTTTTTTTTGTACGTGCAAGACAAAAAGTATACTTCAACACCAACAATAAATTAGGTCAGACATTTTTTGGAGAGGTTATCCCATTGTTAAGTTAGTAGGAATGAAGTACTATGATACCTGCAATATTGGTATTTTACCCAATTCATGCATATTTAGCAGAGTAGCCTCACATTATGGTTTCTCTCCCTAATTAGGGGTTTCTCTCGCCTCTCTCCCTTCTAGGGTTCCAGCGTTTTCATTCTACCAACTGACGGCACCGGCGAGATCGTTCTTACTGACCGACGGCATCATCGACATCATAGTAGCGTGGTCAGCACAGCAGAATGATGGTGGAGTTGAGGTGTTGTCCGAGCGCTAGGCCGACATGGCAATTGAAGAAGAAAACAAGGGTGTTGCAGCAGACCAAAGTTTCCAACCGGCGCCGGGCGAAACGGGAAAGGTGTATTTGGTTGTTGGCCGTTTCTTGATAGTGAAGTTGATTAAGGTGGAGTATATGCGGCAGATTTTAGCATCGGTTTGGCAGCCGGTCATGGAAATGCGGGTGACAGAATTGCACTTTAACTTGTTCCTCTTTGCCTTTTACCACGAGACAGATATGGTGAGAGTGTTGGATGAGGGACCCTGGTCCTTTGATAATGACACGCTAGTCTGCAGGCAGGTCTGTGATGGGTCTCTCCTGGGGGAAGTAAAATTGGATACCGTTGATATGTGGATACAAGTGTATGATCTGCCCATGAGATATACATCTAATGAGATTCTGGAGCAAGTTGGAAATTATGTGGGATCGTTTATTCGGTGTGATAATCGTCATGTTGGTGGCCCGTGGAAAACCTTCTACCGTGTACGTGTTGCGGTACCAGTTGACAAACCATTAAAGCGGCGCATGAAGCTAATACGGCGGGATAAGTCCTGGGGCTGGGTGAATCTCAAGTACGAGAGACTTCATAATTTTTGCTTCTGTTGTGATATGTTAGGGCACCTCGACAAATTTTGTGTGAAGGCTAGGGCTTTGGGTATCAAACCGGAGTTCTACTCGTATGGTACCTGGATGAGAGCAGGGAAAACCCGTGGACCGAGGCATGTGGGCGCCTCGTGGCTTCTACCGCCGGTGGACACTGTACGACAGCAACCAGGGCAGCCGAGCATGGCGGAGGAGGGCACGGCTTCCTCGGATGATGGCCAAGGGGATGTACGCATGGCAAAGCCGCATGACTTGGAGGAGGGGGTCATAGCTTCGTCCAAACGCTGTCAACCGGCGGTGATAGCTCGCCGGTGGAAGGACAGACAGACAATGGTGGTTCATAAAACTTGTTGATGGCGGGTCCCGGATCCCAGACCCGCCCGACTCAATGTGTACGTTAAGCTGGAACTTTCGGGGCTTGGGTAATCCACGAAAAGTTCGTGAAATTGTGGACATGGTGTCCCGTAAGAAGCCTGACTTTGTCTTTCTAATAGAAACTAAAGTGAACCGTACACATGCAGAGCGTATTCATGTTTCGCTTGGTTTTGATGGTCTTTTTTATGTGGATTGCGTTGGATTGAGTGGTGGACTTGCTCTGCTACGGAGGAAAAATAATACAGCAAGACTGATGAGTTTTTTGAAGAATCATATTGATGTGGAAGTAAGTATGACTGGTTTGCAGAACTGGCGCATGACTTGCTATTATGGTTTCCCTGACCGCAATAGACGAGGTGAGGCGTGGGATTTGATTAAGTCATTAGCTCTACGGTCAGATCTACCATGGGTCATGGTGGGCGATTTTAAGGACCTCTTATTTCAGTATGAGAAAAGAGGCGGCAACCCGCACCCGGATATGCTACTTCGTGAATTTGGAGAGACTATTGAACAATGTGGACTATCCCAGTTACCTATGGACGAATATCCGTTTACGCGGGAGAAAGGAAAAGGCACACACATGTGGATTGAAGAGCGGTTGGATAAAGTACTGGAAACAGATAGCTGGTGTGGTCCTGTGACAGGGGCGGGGGTATCTAATTTATTGACTAGAATGTCTGATCATTCAGCCCTCTATCTGGGAATTCATGATCCAGTTGGAAGGGGAGGAAGAGGAAGAGATTTTCGTTTTGAGATGGCATGACTTTATGATGAGGGGTGCAAGGATGTGGTGGAGAAGTCTTGGGAGGATGAGAGGAATATGGGCCTGCAGGATTGTATTGCATATTGTGGCAATCGCTTGTCACGATGGGGAGGTGACCTATATCATAAATTCGGTGAGCAGATTATGAACCTACGAAACAAACAGTTACACCTGAGGGGGCGAACTGATCCAGCCTCACTCGCTGAACTCCAGCGCCTGGAGGAGGCCCTCACCAGTATGGAAGCCTAAGAAGATGCCTATTGGAGACAGAGAGCCAAGCAACACTGGCTAAATGGTGCTGATGCTAACACGGAATTTTATCACAGGTATGCTTCCCACCGAAAGAAAAAGAATACACTTTTTAAACTTATGAATGATTATGGGGAGTGGAAGGAAGGCGATGCTATGAAACATATTATTTTGGAATACTTTGATAATATTTTTTGCTCTAGTAATCCTACGAATGGTGATGCCCTGTTTGCTAATGTGATTCCACGAGTTACCCAAGCCCATAATGAATCACTATTACGGCCCTTTGAATCGAGTTAGGTTAAGGAAGCTCTTTTTGCAATGTTCCCTGATAAAGCACCTGGCCCAGATGGTATGAACCCGGGGTTCTATCAGCACTTTTGGGATGTCTAAATAATCGCTCTTTCCCTTCTGGTTTGAATGATACGGATGTTGTGCTGATCCCAAAAAAGAGTACTAAATAATCGCTCTTTCCCTTCTGGTTTGAATGATACGGATGTTGTGCTGATCCCAAAAAAAGAGTACCCCTGAAGTGGTATCTGATCTTAGATCTATAGCTTTGAGTAACGTGATCTATAGAATAATGACTAAGATGATTACTCATAGAATGAAGCCCTTGATGGAAAGTATTATATCTGACACCCAAAGTGCTTTTATACCTGATAGACTGATTACAGATAATATCCTCATAGCAGCTGAGGTAGGGCATTATTTGAACGGGAAAAAATGTGGGGTTGTTGGTTGAGGAGCTCTCAAACTGGATATGGCTAAAGCCTATAACCGTATGGAATGGTCCTTTCTTCATGGAATGTTAGTGGCTCTGGGATTTGATGGCAGGTGGGTAGAGCTAGTTATGTTATGTGTGACTACTGTCTCATATAGCTTTATGATTAATGGTTTCGGTAGCTGGCCGGTTACACCCACCCGTGGCCTAAGACAGGGAGACCCTTTATCCCCTATCTGTTTATTATTTGTGCGGAAGGTCTTTCCGTGTTATTACAGCAGGCACAGAATAGGGAGCTAATACATGGATGTAGGATTGCTAGGGGTGCCCCACCTATCTCCCATCTATTTTTTTGCAGATGACATCCTACTTTTTTTCAAAGCAAATGTGCAAGAAGCCACTGAGATTAAAAATTGTTTGTCTATATATGAGAAGTTGTCTGGACAGGGAGTCAACTATCATAAATCCAACATATGCTATAGCAAAAATACATGTCAGGAGGACAAGGATGAGGTGGCCCAGATCCTAGGAGTGGCTCAGGCTCCAAATTTTGGAAAATACTTAGGTTTACCCTCTTTTGTGGGAAGGAATAAAAAGGCAGTTTACTTATATTGAGGATAAAATTAGACAGGGGATTGGATCATGGAACAAACAATTGTTATCACAGCAGGCTGGTAAAGAAATTTTATTGAAAAGTGTGGCCCAAGTTATGCTTACTTTTTCAATGAGTGTTTTTTTTACTGCTTATATCTGTCTGCACAGCTATTGAGAGACTCATGAACCGTTATTGGTGGGGATCATGAACTGACCGGGGGCATTCACGGGAAAGTATGAGATAAATTATGCATCCCGAAAAAATATGGTGGTTTGGGCTTCAAGGATTTGAGAGCATTCAATTTGGAAATATTGGGCAAGCAGGCATGGAGATTGCTTACTAACATTGACTCATTGGTGTCTCGTGTATACAAAGCCAGATATTATCCTAAGGAGACCTTTTATGAAGCATGCTTAGGAAATAATCCCATGTATTGTTGGCGCAGTGTTGTGGCAGCTAAGGGGCTAATATGTAGTGGTGTGAGACGGTGTATTGGGATTTGGGAATGGAAATTCTACCTTAGTCTGGAAACATCTCTGACTCGAAGACAAGCTAGATCCAATGATTCAAACTGAGATGCCACCGCAACTAGCTGGGGCCAAAGTCATGGGGCTAATTGATCAGGATATTGGCTCGTGGGACCATCATTTGCTCACTGATATCTTTCAACAAGTGATGTACCTAAAATCCTCAAAATACCAGTTTCCTCCGAATATGATGATGTATGGTATTGGCATGGGGATCCTAATAGTTGTTACTCGGATGGCTACAGGCGCATAATTGAAAATGTGGCTCACTCTATGGAAAATTAAAATATCACCCAAATGAAAAACTTTTCTATGGAGAGCTATAAGTGATAATCTTCCCACTACCAACAACTTGCTTATAAAGAGGTAGAAGTTGATCCGATGTGTGCCATGTGTGGAATCATTCACGAGGACACTATGCACTCATTAGTTTTGTGTGGCTTTGCAAATTCCATATGGACTCAATCCAACCTTCCACTCCCCAATGTTGTGCCATGAATGGTTTAGTGCAATCTTGAATGTTCTAGACACTAATGGAATTATGTTCGCAGCGCGAAATGGTGCTGTTTGGGATGCTTGTCTACCGATGCCAAAGAAGTTGCTTGCAACCGCTATGGCCACTATGCAAGCTTGGCGGAGAGTCCACCACCGAACAGCTGCTCTAGCGCCGGCCGCACACGCTACCGCCGCAGCCAACACTGCCTCTACTGCCGATATGCCACTGCCGGCCGAACTCAAGGCCCACGCCACTGCCTATACCGCCCAGCAGCCACCGCCACCACTATTGCTGCGACCTGGACAGCCCCACGAAATGCCAATAAGGCCAAAAAAAAAATGTTATATTGATGCAGGTTATCATCATGGGACGAATTCAGCTACGATCGGAGCAGTCCTCCTCAATGCCGACAGCCGCTACATTTCGACCTTCAGCGCCCCCCTCCTAAGTTGCTTCTCCCCTCTTATGGCCGAAGCGTTTGCATGCAAAGAGGCCTTGTCATGGCTAAGGGCGCGTGGAGAAGAGTCTATACAGCTACACACAGATTGTCAAACATTGCAGTGTTATCTATCTGCACCAGACATCCCGTCTCGATCGTACATTGGGTATGCTATCAATAGTTGCATAACTTACATGTCTGCTTTTAGTTCTTGCTCAATCACTTCTATTCCTAGATTACAGAATTTACTAGCACATACTTTAACTACTACAGCTTTTAATTACACTATAGCTATGTACTGAGACAACTTCCCGCCTGACTCTATTTCAGTTTATCTATAAATACAACCAAATTGGTTGACCTTAAAAAAAAAAAAAGAAAGAAAACAGAGTAGCCTCAAAAATTTCATGGCCAAGCAATTAAACATGTAAAATGACCAGACATCTAAAGAAAAGTAAAACCAAAACTTCATTGATCACATCAGCGAGTCCAAACAGTTGAATCAAAGCAAAACCAAAACTTCCAAATTCAAGTTAGTCCCTGTCATTCTGTGGGAGAATAAAATATGGTTCATGGCAAGGAGGAGGAGGATACTTTTACAGTCAAAAATTAAATACTACTCCGTATTAGAAACTGCCAGAATTTTCATTTACAATACATTCTTCAAAATGTGCAAAAAGAAAAGAATCACAAATGCTTGCTCATTCCTGACATTCCTTACACCTATAGGGGAAAACAAGCTTGTCTTGAGTGAGAAGCGCACTACTGTGACTTTGGCTTTTGAACCTTCACGTAGGGGAAGAAACCTATCAAGTGCTTAATTGTTGGATTCCATCCCCGCTGCTGTGCACGGCAATACATTAAGAATGTGTTTGCAAAGTATGAATTGAAACCCATGAGCACATGCCATAATGCATGACCCTGTGGATTGATGCTCCACCTTGAAATGTCCTTGCAAAATTGACGATCAAATAACCAGCACATGGTGCCAACCAATAATGTGGCCAAGTATAACTTTGCAAGACGCTTTGCCAATCGGTCTTCAGTATAAATGTAATATTTGTACATACGAGGAATGCAAAGAAGGCATAGTAATGCATAATGCACCTTAAACCCGATTGCAAAGCGAACTTGTGAATGCACAATGGCAAACACTGCACCATAAAGGAATAAAAAGGTGGGCATAGTACTCCGGTAATGCCAGTCTGGTGAGTAGAGGATGTAAATATAAAGTAGCATTTCCCATACCATTGGTGTCTCATCACCTTGTTGTTGCCTGCCAATCAAGATCCTTGGTTATAATAAAATAACAATACACAACATGGCAAAGAGAGTTTTTTCCCATGGACATGACAAAAGGGATGAAACTTTTTCCTATGGACATGACTATGTATGCACAAAGTGAAAGAGGTGGATGCAAAGAGGGCCCAAGGAGGGGGAAAGTATGATGGGGATGTCAGAAGTTGGGAGACATACAAAGTATGGTTACAATTCAAGTATGATATGGGATAGTTACATTGACAATGATGACTTGCAAGTTGCAAGGCCAGAAAATATAATATTGCAGGTTCTGAACAAGACAGAGGGTTGATGGACACTGGAAGGAGTGGGGGGATATGTGGATTTCAGAGAATTACAAGGACTCTTCTTTGATTGGATTATAAAAGTGCTAAAATTCTGTACCAGAGATTGAATCAAGGTGGCAAGTAGGAACTGACATGCAAAATAATCATAGGAGAAAGACGTAAACCAAGGGGATTGAAGGGACTCAACAACAACACTACAAGTAAGATCTATAGCAGAGAAAGAAAATCAGAGGCTTTAAGAAACTGTCCTTGGTAGCTACTGGCAAGTACTTGACCATTTCAAATTTTGTGTTAGCTCTGGGTGAAACAGTTTTTGGGCCAACAGGATTTGACATTCAGAGTTTTGTGAATGCTAGTTTATATATGGGGTTTACCTACTTGGTGCTTTCCATCTCATAAAACAAGCAAATGAAAAAGCATTGAAATGTTAAAAAAAATTAAAATTTCATGTGTGCACACGCGAGTGTATTTATGTATGTAGGCACAACCAACACTTGGCAAAAAATCTCAATATGGTGAACTCTGTCAATTGATAGACAATTTTTCATGACTTCAATGACAGGTCAAGTACATTAACATGACAACTAAAGGTAGTGGAACACTAGTATCGAAAAAGAAAAGTTCTAATCACTGAGGGGGATAAAAGATTTTATCAAATACTGATTCATTTCCCAATTTCCCATATATGTTAAAAAAAATAAATAGCCAAGGATTTGGCTAGAATGTATTCTTGCATGTATATTTTATACCCTATTGAAAATTTGAAATAGTAAAACAGTCAAAAGTAAAAACAGAAATAACATATTAACACTGAATAATAATGCATTTACAAGGATTACAGGTCCACATCCATCACATAGAATAGATGAAGTTAATAATACCATTTACAATAATGGGAGATTCACCTCAAACATGGAGCAAATAGAGTTCAATTGCCTCACTTTCAAGCATATTGTCTGTTCAGATCTTAAATCATTTGACACATCATGACTAGAAAAATTAAAGTTGACTAAGAAATTCTGAATGTTCTCTATAAATATAAACTTTCACACAAATACGAGATTCCATGTAACAACCCCAAAATTACCAGTTAATAACATACCCACAACATCCAAGTCAAGGGTTGGATTTTGCATGACAGTGGCATTCTTTTAGCTTCTTCATAGTTCATATAGCAGTTTGACAAAAAAAATTATGGAAACTTATTAATTATCATAAATTCTGAGACAACTAAACAACTTTCATATGCAATCAATTGATGAGATTCCTAGAACTACGGACATTCAATAAAAACCCAGCCTACAGTTTACAAGCAAAAAAAGTGTTAGAGCACTCACATTCGCTGCAGTGTGGCATGATAAAGCATGCTTCCTATGGCAAGTATTATATTTGATATGTGGAGGACACTGAACCTTTTTTCAAACCTTTGTCTCAAGGCATTAACAAGACCAATGAAGGCCAAGAGAATGCATGGAACATTTGAGATGGTGTTGAAAAACTCTGCGATATAGGAAGAGTGAACATAATTTGGTTCACACCACTCTTTGGTAGATGTCACAGGGCCCCAAAAGCTTGATGTGCCACCTGCCATTCGTCAAAATTTGCACCTAAAATTGGAAAGGAAATGGATACTGGTTACATGAAATAGTTTGCCAGGGAGAACCCCTAAGTCACTAAAGTTGCCACCAATAGCAGTAGCTGCAATAGAAAACGCTTACCATACACAAAAAGTCAAAAATAGTTTAAAACAATCCATACAAAACCATTAAAACATGAAACATTTCAAGGGTCAAGATATCTATGTTAGCTCAAAACAGTTCAAAAGTTTTTAATGTGAAATTCTCAGATAAAGTAGTTTTTTTCCTGAAATTTTCTAAGGGGGGTGTATTCAATCAAGACTTTTAAAGAGTTCCAAAGACTTTTAAAGTGATGGATTTTAAATGACTTTTGTAGACTTTCCTAGAATCTTTTAAACTTTTATTAACTTTGTAAGAGTCTTTAAAAATCCACAGGACAAACATTTATAGACTTTTAAAAACTTTTTCATATTAACAAGTCTACAAAAGTTATTAAAACTCTAAATTGAATACACCCTTACAAAACATTCCATAACTTTTATTAATACATTATTTATAATTCTCTTATAAAAATATATTTTAAATTAATGTATTGCAATAAAATAAAAAATAAATATTGATTGTCACAAAAATACAGTATATTATAACAAAAATACATATATTAATAATCAATGAACATATAATAACATAAAATTATGTTAATTATATATAAAAAAAATTAAGTATATTAATTCTACTGGTTATAAAAAAAATTATAAAAGATTTCTGCTGCGAACAGCAGCAAGATGCTGCTACTGTTCGTAGCAGATTTAAGTAGAGTTAAAATCTGCTGCGAATAGCAGCAAGCTGCTGCTGTTCGCAGCATGTTTGTTGCTGGGAACAGCAAGCTTGGCTTGGCAAGCTTGCTGTTCGCAGCAAAACAAAATTGCATAAAATATATAATAATAAAAAATAATTATAAATTATTATGAAAAGTTTGAAACGTACCCTAAAATTTGATAGAAATTGATAAAAATAAAATTATCTGGTTTAGATAGAAGAAAAAGTCGGTAGAGAAAATTGAAAAGTTTGGGGTTGGAGGGTCGGATTTCATCTATTTATATTAATGAAGAAAAGAAATCCTATTCTGATAGAGTCTATGAAAGTTGATAAATATTTGAATACCAGTAGACTTTTAAAGACTATAAAAGTCTGATCTATTTATATTAATGAAGAAAAGAAATCATATTCTGATAGAGTCTATGAAAGTTGATAAATATTTGAATACCAATAGACTTTTAAAGACTATAAAAGTCTGAAACGAATACCAGTATACTTTTAAAGACTTTTGAAAAGTCTGAATCGAATACAGTAGACTTTTAAAAAGTCTTTAAAAGTCTAAATTGAATACCACCAAACTTTGAAAGTCGTTAAAACTCTTTAAAAGTCTGGATTGAATACACCCCCCTAAGAAAAGAAAACCTTAACATCAAATTCTCCCTAAAACAATCATTTTACACCCACATTTTAGACCTATGTACTTTACAATAAATATTATCTTCCCTGATCCTCAAACCAGACCATTCAAGTTCTATACATATTATTACAATTGTGATTCGACTAAAAAACAAGCCATAACAACACAACTATCATAAGTATAAAGTAGGCATCAGCCTTCATATTTTCCAGCACTCATTGCAGGGTTTGATTTCCATTTAAAATGAAGCCTCTAATTATAGATTCATAATTAGCTATTACCTTGGCTTTCGAACTCTGACTTCCACATTAAACAAAACTCTTGAGAATAAATTAAAAACAAACAAACTTCTCCAAATTGTGAAATCCAAATCTAAGGCAAACCACATTCAATTACTAAAACCGACTCTAGCAAATGCCAATGGCACATTACAAAGCCGAGCAAATAATTTACAATAAAAACAAAAAATTGACAAAAAAAACACGAGTGGTGATATATATTCATCTGTGCATAAAAACGCACAAAATTATATGAATTTCGTGCATGTATTCGATTTAATATACACGTATACAGAGAGAAACTGACCTTTCAAAATCAGATCTAGGTTTTTTATTCCAATTTCAGTACCAATTCTCTATAATCTCCAACGCGATCTCTGAATTTTGCGTCTGTAGTTCTCGCCTGCGCTCCTAGGGTTGGATCTCAGGAGACAAAAAAACGAAGGAAGAAAACAGAACGTTTTTTTCCCGGACAGGAGCTTGGCGACCGGTTCATCAATCATCCGGTTCCTAAATTCTTTTTATTTTTAATTATTTTTTTTTCTTGAGAGGAGTTCAGTCCATTTTGGTACACGAGAAGTCCGAATAAAATACTGCCTTAAAATGTTCACTTCATCGTTATTCATAATTGTTTTCTTTGTCCCATAGCTATTGTTTCTTCTTGTCCATGAAAAAATATTATTGGTTTTCATTTTAGAAGGAATATTCTTTTGATAGATGTGTTCAATCCGTTGGAGATAAAATACAAAATAAATAAATGTATACTTTATTAATTATTAATTACATTCTTTTTTTAAAAAATAGAACTCAATTCATTAAATCAGAGCCAAGAATAGAAACAAGATACTGGGGTGGTAAATCAAACCACTCCTCGCGAGCCACATCTAAAAGTGTTAGCTACTCTTGTTCAACTCTGTCATATTCCGCACTGCCAGTTGGGTCTCTTCGAGGCTTAAGGGCCTCAAGCTGTCTTCTACACCGATCAATTCGCTGCTGGAAGGCCTTATTATATGTACGACCCCAACGTTCAATGTCTCGGGCACAACTCGACCCTATGGAAAACATCCAGGCCAGATGTCCTACTCCAACTCTGCTTCACCACTTCCTTAAACACCTCTTTCCGAAGCCACATCTTATCAAAGCAAAATCTCTTGCGCCGAGGTTGGTGGTTGATAACTATCGGAGTCAGTAAGAGCGGAATGTGATCACTATATGGGAAGGCAAAGATGTCGCCGTAGCCCCCCTCGAACTGCTCCAACCACGACTCAGTAACCAAGATCTTGTCCAGCTTCTCTTCAATCATATTCGGTGTCCCTTTAGAGCGCTGCAAAGTAAACTGGTATCCAGCAAAGGCAAAGTCAGTTAGGCCACAATTATTGATGGCCTCCCGAAAACCTGCCAACAACCATTCTGGATGGGGTAGTCGATCCCGTTTCTCACTCTGGTGTAGAAGGTCATTCAAGTCGCAGAGGATCACCCACGGCAAACTACTGATACCAGCTAAAGTTCGCAACAGATTCCATGACTCCCGTCGATGATGCCTCTCCGGGAAACCATAGAACCTTGTTAGTCTGAACTCTGGGGTGCCCACATCCAGTACCAAAGTGGCGTCAATATGATTAGATGAAAACCCCATTACCTCTACCCGTATAGCTTCGTCCCACAAAAGAGCCAGGCCGCCACTATGTCCATGCGCATCCACCACCAACATGTTATTAAACCCTAATTTTATTCTTATTGGTTCCATTCTGTGCTTCACAAGTAAAGTTTCCATTTAAAACACAATTTTCGGCATCTTGTCACGGACTAAGTCCGCTAACACTTGAACTGCCGTCAGGTTGCCAAGCCCCCGGCAATTCCAGGACATAATATTCATAATCCTTGGCGGGCTTGCTCCGCAAGTCCCGCCTCCTGCAAGTTTTTTTTTTTTATATCCTGATGCCTCACACTCCATCCCCACCGCATCAACCCCATCAATTCTTCTTCGTTTAGGGTCAGAAACCATCACCTCTGGAACCCTAAGACCGTCAGTTGCTACCTTCTCAGAGGTAGCCAACGAATCCACAACAGTCGTCTTCCACTTCTGCCGTTCAACAGTGGTCTCCAGCGGAATCCAACGCTGCCCGTTCGACGGCATACCCCTCCTATTGCCAGCCCAGAGCCATGCTCCGTAAGGCCTATTAACACTTGCTTCACCAGGTTTCTCATATTTGTGACAAAACCTTTCCCCATGGCCTATGATCCCGCATAAGAAGCAGAAAGTAGGCATACATTCGTATTTAAAATCAATGATCGCCCACCCTCCGTTATCCAACCTTAACTTCATCTGCTTCTTCAAGGGTTTAGCCACATCAATTGCCACCCGAACGCGGTAGAAGGACCTCATTAATTACAAATTTTTATAATCTAAATTTTCCAATTTCACCAAATGTATTATCCAAAATCTCAATATTCTACTGCTACTAAAAACAAATCTTAAGTGGGTCTTTTCAACTACTAGATCAATGTCTTAGGGGCTATTAATTTATATTTTTCAATTAAAATTGAATATATTTGACTTGTCTGTACATGTGAGAATGTCTTGAGAACGCATCATTCGATTTAATCATCAAGTTTAAGTGTATATTATGAGTCTTTGTCTTGTAAATTAAGCTATAACGTGTGTTTTTTCAAACTTAAAGGAGCCACTTCTACGATAGATACTAACAAATAATAAGAAGTTAGGTATATTTTATCAAAAGTACGGTAACCTAATTATTTAATTTCGTCGACATTGTTATGATCGATATAGTAAAAAAAATTATATTTCAATAATGCTCAATGAGCATTAACATTATGTTTGATTTATGGAATGAAAATAGTGGAATATGAACAAAATTTTACCATGAATTAATAAAATATAAAATATAATTTTATTATTTGGTTGAATAAGAAGTAAACACTCACAAAGTACCTTGTGGTCTGATGACATCGATCACTATTACTATTTCAAACGAAAGGTTTCAAGTTTGAGTTTCATCCCAATTCATAGAGTTTATGTCTAGCTTCAAATGGATGAAGGTTGATGGATTGGAAACTTAGATACTAAATGTATCTTTTAAGTTTAGAGAGAGTGCTAGGTGTTCATTACAACTAGGCTTGCTAAATTCACTTAGAATGTTCAAATTTCAATTCAACTCTTTGTTGAAGGAATTATTTATTTATTTATAACTTGTAAGAGATGAATTCCTTCATTTTGAATTCAAATCCATTTGAATTTTCTAGTTAACCCTTGTTCTATATTATTAGTAAAAAAATAATTGTGTCTAAGATTTTTTTTTTATTCAAACTTTGTGTTGTTTTACGTGTAGTAAATGTTTTCCTCTACATTTTCAAACACTACATTTGAAGATTTACCAAAAAGTGTAACCCCATACTTAATATGCCAAGATATACCTTATCTTCACATATGCCAAGATATACCTTGTCTTTTCCATTAATTGAGTCTAATAGCTCATTTTTTTTTCTTTTTTTTTTTAAACCAAAATTTTTAATATAAATCTTCTGTTCAAATATCTTTACTAGATGAATAACTCTTGGACTGTGGGACTTCTCCCCACCTGATTGTATTTCCGAAATTTTGAAGATTTAATATATGCTCGTTATTTGGTTTTCAAAAAAAAAAAAAAAAAAAAGAAGCAGAAAACTCTTCTATTTGAATATAATGACTCTTTTATATAAAGATTTATTTATGTTTTTATTTTTTTGCCAAGACTTTTGATGCTTTGTCTTTTGATTTAGCTCTCCTTTGTTCAAATAACTCTTCTAAATGGTAATCTCTATTGAGATTTTAATAGCATCTATTCTACATATCACCAGTCTTATAATTCTTTTGGTTTATACTTGCCAAATGAGTAATGATTTTAATTGAAACTTTTGGGGCTAAGGCTGCTTTTATCCTGGCCTGAAATTTTTTCAAAGGCAAGCTCACATGGAATTATAAGTTATAAGTAGTATTTATATTTTAATCATTTTAATGAATAATTCTAATTTGTACTTTCCGGATTCGATTTCCTACTTTGTTTAATTTTAATGATTTCAGGTGCTTCAAATATGTAAGTTTTAATTAAGTTTTAGTTTTATGATTCGAATAGCTATGTAACACGAATTATTTTATTTCAAGTTTTTATGTAATATAATTTCTATTCAATTATTATATACATAATATGAATAATTTGTTTAACTAAAAATAAATATATATACATAATCTTTTATTTTTGTTATTTTAAATATTTTATTATAATTTATATATTGATACAAAATAATAATTGTAGTGACAAATTAAGATTTATTGATAAAAGATAATAATTGTTTAATGTGATGTGAAAGTGGCATAGTATTGCAGGGATATAGAGAAAAATAGTAAAAGAATTACAAAATTAGTGATGTGGAAGTAGGACCCACTTTTAAAAGTTTGAGAATATTGCAAGAATAAATTCAGTCTAAAATTATCTTATTCCTAAAATTTACTCCCTTTGCCATTATTTATAAATTCATTTAAAAAAAAAAAAAAAAAACATGATGTGGCTTGCCATCCTTGCAAGATTAGCAAGGATTGCAGTCTTGGAAAGTGGGAAAAAAAAGTGTAATATCATGAGTGGGGAAAGAGTCTTTGTTACTTATTTTATTTTTTTTTACCATTTTTAATAATTTAAATTAAATTTAAATAATAATAATAACATTGATGAAAGATAATAATTTTTAAATGTGATATGAAATGTGGACCCACGTTTAAAAGATATAGAGAAAATAGTAAAGAAATTGTAAATTTGAAAGTAGGACCCACTTTTGAAAGTGAAATAAAGATAGCCTAACAATTTTATGAAAAATTTATCTATTGTTGAAAATTCTAATTTCCTAATACAATTGTACAACTTCATTAAAATTTATAAATAAATAAAATAATCATTATTATGGTCACATGCATGCATATTATTATTTTTCATCCTTTTTTTTTTAAAATCCAATTGATATCATCATAATGCTCGTATATTCTATTTTTTAAAGAGTCATGAAAAACTCGAGAGTATATTTGTTATGTTAATTGAGTAGAAAAAGGGACAAAAATGTGGCATAACAAAATTATTCTCTATTTTTTTTAAGAAGGAGACCAAAGAACGATATTCAATGTAAATTATAATTTTACCTCTAATTTGAAGGTTTGGGTGAAAATTACTTTAATTTTTATCCATGTAAACAACAATCATTAAATGAAATTTTAGAAGGATGACTGAGCTTCTTCATGCTATGCAGGAGGAGCAAGATTCAGGAGGAGCAAGATTCAGAAGGCTGCAGTGATGATGTGTTTTTCAACAAAAATTAAATGAAATTTTTGATGAAATAATTAAAGACACTAACTAAAATTTAAGTTAAGAGAATTAAATTTAAAAGTATCATAACAATTGAGGACAAAAACTAATTAAATATAAACTTTCTTGATACAATGTTATACTTGATTGATCATTTTACTCCTTAATGTGACGGACACTATATGCTATTATTAAATTAGAAGAGTAGAGAA